AATTTTGTTATTATCATAATAAGAAAAATTATATTTTCAAATATTTGAACAACTTATAAAATCTAAAAGTAACTTATAAGCTATGTATTCAAACACCTTAAAAAATAATTTTAAAAATAAAATTTAATAATTTATCAAAATCTAGAACATTTTATCAAATATAAAAGCTTATAAGATATTTTAAATATGTTTTACATAATATAGACAATATATTTCTCGCTTGAATTTCAAAAGGAATGTTTTAAAGTAATATCATAATCCAGAGGAAATAGGTGAGAATAGTTTCACAATGATGGGTAAGCTTAAAATAAGAATTAGAAGTATGCTAAGTATTCATTTCGGAATTCCTAAGTCAAAATTGATCTCTTTAAAATTTAATAATAAAAAAAAGAGATCTTAAAATTTAAAATAAAATAAAAATTGATTCGAATTTGACTTTTTTTTGGGTGGTTTAGTTATGTTGAATGCATAGGCAAAAACAGCTCTCGTATTTGACTCGTTTAATATTTGTGTAAACTTAATTTATAACAATCAACAAGATTAAATTAATACTCCCTCTTCCCTCTGGTCTATAATAAGTGTTTTTTTTTTAAAATACTTTTGTTCCATATTATCTGTCACTTTAGATTTCCAATACTGCATTAAATATATTTTTCCTGTTTTAACCTTATTAATGAAACTCTAATCATTAACTTTCTCTTATAAATCATTAAATAATAAAGGTTGTCTTAGTCATTTTTATATGATTTTTCTAAAATCAAGATATATTTATTGAGTTTCTTAATCTTTGTGAAAAGTGAAAAGAGACACTTATTTAGGAACGAAGGGAACTTGTCTCGTTTGAATAGCCTTATTCCATGCACATCGTTTGCAGAACCTTATTAATATATATAATAACCAATTTGTATTATATTTACTTGTCTTTATTTGACCCTCAAGACTCACAAGGGACGTTTGGTTTACTCTATTTTTCGAGAATTTTTTGTGGTTGAGACTTGAGATTTTAAACATATTTTATATGTGTATCTTATTTCAATGCATAGAAGCTGGTTGACCTAATTAATTTATAGGGTTTATATATAGAATTTTTTAGGGGAAATGACAATATATTATGTATTTAGGGCCAAAATATAAAAATAAAATAAGGGAGGGAAACCCCTTCCATACAATCCAAAATAGACAAAGAAGCTAAATTATGAGCAAGGTGGTTGAAATCAGCAAATTTTTGGATTGGCGTGGATTGTTATGTTCGTGATTCAAGAGGATATCGTTCGTGATTCATGGCGTTTCTGAATTGAAGAAGGTGTTGCTGAATCTCGGAATACGCCTTTCTGTCACATCCATTGTTACTCACACCCAAAAAATTCCTGAGACCCTCTCTATCAAAATCACCACCATTCGTTTAAATGGTGAAAACTTCATGCGTTGGTCACAATCAGTACGGATGTATAGCAGAGGTAGGGGAAAACGTGTTATTTAACTGGAGAAAAGAAAGAGCCAGAAACCAAAGATTCGTCTTACCCGATTGGGATGCAGAAAAACTCGATGGTAATGACTTGGGGTTGGTGAATTACATGGAGGAGGACATCAACTCTATTTTTATGTGTCACCACACTGCGAAAGAACTCTGGGAAATGTCAACTATATGTATTCTGATCTGGGTAATCAGTCCCAAATCTTTGAATTAACGCTAAAAATTGGAGAGATTTGTCAAGGAGATCAAAGTGTTACAAAGTACTTCAATTGAAGCATTTGTGGCAATATATTGATTTCGTCAGTATTTACGAACGGAAATCACCGGAAAATTGCAACAATTATACAACTACGGTCGAGGATAACCGCATCTTCAAATTTCTCATCAGGCTTAATGTCGAATTCAATGCAATTTGGGGAATTATTGGAAGGCAACCCATCTCTTCACTTGGAGAAGTTTTTTCAGAGGTGTGTAGGAAAGAAATTCGTAGGATGGTCATGTTAGGAAAGACGTTATCAAACAAAATGGTTGAATCTTTAGCCCTAGTTACTGCTGAAGCAAATATCAGCAAGAAATTTGATGATAAGCCTCATGTATGATGTAATCATTGGGGAAAGCCTCGCCATACTAGTGATACTTGCTGGAAAGTTCATGCAAAATCTGTTAATTGGAAGAACAAACAATTAGGAAAACTAGGTCGTATAGCATCAACTCATGAAGTCGAAGCATTTTTCTTTAATAAAAAAACATAATAAAAAGCAGATGAATCACCTACTAAATCTGTTGAATACCAATTCTTCCGCTGGTATTCCTAGTGTTTCCCTCTCTGAAACATGTAACAACTCAAAAGCATTACCTTGTCATTTAAATCCTGCTCCTACCTCGTGGATCATTGATTTAGGGCCTCTAACCATATGACAAGTTTTTACCATTTATTCCAAACATATTCACCATGATCAGGCTCTGAAAAAATTAGAATAGTCGATGAACCATATTCCCCTATTACTGGAAAATGTTTAACCAAACTTTCAAATATTATTAATCTTAAGTTTGTCTATCATGTTCCTAAACTTGCTTGTAATCTTTTATCTGACAGTAAGCTATGCAAAAATTCTAATTGTCGTGTTATGTTTGATGAATCCCATTGTGAATTTTAGCAACAGAGTTCGGGGAAGATAATTAGCAGTGCTAGGGTGACAGAGGGTCTCTACTATTTTCATGATGATATCTTCAATAATAAAAATGTTCAAGGCTTGAGTAGTATCACTTCAACTTCTAATAGAGAACAAATAATGTTACGGCATCTTAGACTAGGGCATCCTACTTCCCCTAATTTTAAGAACTTATTTCCTCTTTTATTTAAAGTATTGAATTATTCATCTTTTTATCGTGAAAGTTGTTTTCTATCTAAAACTCATCGCACTATTATTCTCCAAATTCTTATTGATCATCAAAACCATTTTGATCCACAGTGATGTTTGGGGTCCCTCTAAGATCACAACTATTTTTTGGAAAAAGATGATTTGTGACTTTTATCATTGATCATAGTCGATTGTGTTGGGTATATTTGACTCATGAAAAATCTAAGGTTAAAAAATTATTTAAATTTTTTTATCTAATAATTGAAAACCAATTTGAAACAAAAAAAATGGTATTCTTCAAACTGATAATGGCATTGAATACTTCATATGAGGTTTTAGGAAATGTTTGAAAGAAGATACAAAATTTCACTAATCCGCTTCGGGTCGATTCTCCACAATAATATGGCATAACTAAAAGAAAAAGAAACATTTACTCGAGTTTTCTCGTGCTATCGTATTTTCAATGAATGTTCCAAAATATTTGCCGGGAGAAGCGGCATCATATTTGATTAATAGGGCTGTTAACTCATGTTCTTAAATACAATACATCTTTTGAATTTTTAAGAGATTTGATTAGGGGTGGGTTCGGTACGTACGGTTGCCAAACATTTGGCTCAATACTGTGTACCTACCGTACATTGTGGTATTGAAAAATTTCATATTGTTACCGTACCGAAAAGTTCGGTATACCGATGTTTGGTATACCGTTATTTTCGGTACGTTACAATCGGTATGTGGTACTCTACCGTACTTGGTGATGTGTCAGAGATTAAAAAACAAATGAGTTAACAAGTATGTAAATCTCAATTGAAAATAGTTCTAGTTACTCTTGTATCTAATTTTCTAAAAAGGCCCGAGTGTATAATTATGAATAATTAACATAACTTGCTTCAATGAAACAATAATATAAACCAAAATAAATGTGGTTTAATGGAATAACTAGGTATATCTTAGTGTTTGATTGTACTTAATAATTAATACATACAATAAATACTTTACTAATACTATACATACATGTATATGTATGTAAAAAAATATATTCATACATCAAATATAATAAAATTAGTTGGCAATAGGGAACATAAAAGACAATTTAACATATTATAGTCTAATTATAAAATTCAACTTGGTCGGAAAAAAAAAATACACTACCACTAACTTAAGGTAAAAATAATTGTTGCAATTCATAAGCTTACAATTCATAAGCTTACAAGAGTGCGAAATGCCGAAATGCCGAAATGCTATATTTCAAGGGTGCAAAGTGAAATTTAACCTTTATTCATACAAACTAAGAAATACAAGAAAAGTAAAGTTCACATAATCAATCTGATTGATTTGAAATCCATAATTTTATGTCGATCAAATTCTTAATTTCAATCACTCTAATTAAGCAATTGATATCAGTACCCATGGTACGTAGTTTGCATCCCCAACACTTAACACGATTGTGTTTTGATAGTGCAAGGTGCAATTAAAAAAAAAAAAAAAAATGCGAAAAGACGAAATGCTATATTCCAATGGTGCAGAGTGGGATTTAACCTTTATTTTATACAAACTAAGAAATACAAGAAAAGAAAAGTTCACACAATCAATATGATGGACTTGAAATCCATAATTTATGTCGACCAAATCCCTAATTTTAATCATTCTAATTAAGCAATTGATATCCGTACCCATGGTAGTTGGCATCCCCGAGTACTTCCATGTATCTCTCCACCACCTCGAAATTAGTAGTGTGTATGACTTGGCTTCCTTCTTGACAATAGTGATCGTAATCGTAGATTTTTTGTAGTTGATCTCATGACCCGAAGTGCGAGCATATTTACACAAAAAGTCGTAAACATAAAAATGTAGCCGGCATCCATACCTCTGCAAAATATAAGAGTATCGGCTGTAAAACACAAATTTGACACCATCTGGAGCTAACGGTGCGACTTAAATACTCTACAGGTTTATTTTATGCTACATCAGGTGAAATATACAAATAATATACAAATCAGATCATTACCATTCATTCACACACAAAAACACAACACCCGTGTTGATGGTAATGATCCACCCAATGTAGATTTCCATGGGTGCAAGCATAGATTTGACCCCATTTGCATTCATTTTACAAGTGCTACAAAATATGAGGAATGATTTGTAATTTACAAATCAAGTTAGATTTTTTTAAATAGATATTTTACACAAGAAAACTAAGTCAAACTCATCAACATTCAATGGCAGGAGGTCTTACAAGAGTCGTTGTTAAACATAGGCTAAACCGGCACATAAACGATAGCAAAACATTAACTATTGCATCATATATAATATCATTCAAAACAACTCTTGACATTATTACTAAGCCTTGGCATTACTTTTCTTGTAATTCTTTTTCTTCCGCTTAGAATCATCATCGGTGGTATCTGGCTTTGCATGGGGAGGAGGATCAATACATTTTTCAACCGTTTGAGGAGATAAATTTATTGTGGCTTCCTTCTGTTTCGACATAGTCGAGACTAAGAATACTTCCTTTGAAGCACCCAAAGCAAAATTCATCTTCTCATACTGTCATAAGAAAACGATTGAAATAAAAAAAATATTATTATTACATTCGACAAAACTATTTAAAATGTAATAATTTAGCATTAACAATTTAACAAAACAAGAAAAGAACATTAAATATCGTATATTAGGGGAACAAACAAAAAAAGGGTGTTCATTTGCTACCGTAAGTGGTTCAGATAGATGATTTTCTAGATATATTTTTTTCCGTTTCTAGTGGTATGTTATTTGCATATAAAATGAAAAAATAAAAACTGAAAAACACAAAGGTGTAGCTTAAAAGTTAAAATTACCGCTTCAACTTTTCCTAGAGCAAAATCCAACTTCCTCACTAGAGCATAGTTTGCCTCCATCAAAGCCTCAATCTATAAAAGAAAACCAAAAAAAAAACTTTCGTTGTAAGAGCAAAATAATTATATTACACAACAGCAAAAGAAAAAGAAAAAAAAAATCACAACCTTCTTCTGTGAGTCGATGTACAAGCTTTTGTAGCTGATATTACTAGAATGTCCCTCGTGAGGTTTTATAGCGACCTGTTTAACCAAAGAAGCAATAGATTCATCAGTGTAGACATATATATATATAAACAAATTAAAAATATAAAGTTCATACTCTGTAAACACAAAATAAACAACCTTAGACTTGAATTCCTCAGCTGCTTCAACGAAATAGTCAACGTTTTCTTCCATGTTTCTTTCTTTCGTTTCCGTTTCTACTTCCGAGTTAGTTTCCTTCACGACTGGCGATTCACTATCTTCCTGAAATGCTGTTCTCCTTCTTCTTGCATTTACATCCCTCGACTTTTTCTTCTTTGATGGAAAACCGTTGGAATTTGTCCGCAATTTGTTTTCAGCATTCGTACCCTCCTCAGCAATCGAATTTTCGGTATGTGAACGTATTTTCTCGTCGGTACATGTATTTGAGGTTTTATCCTATCACAAAAAGTCAAATATAGTAAAAAAAACATATTTCAAAGGTTAGTTGTATGGACCAAGTGTTCTTTCCAAGCTCTTGAGTTTGTTAGTCTTTCGAGAATCAATCCTTTCAACTTCTTCTCTCACAAAAATTAAACAAAAATTTCCCCAATACTTTCAAAGATGTGATTCGACAATTGCAATATATAACATGTTCAACATTGAATTAAGACAACTCAATAAAATAAAAAATGATATCAAAGAGTTTCCATTGATCGAAAAACTCACTCAATAATCATAATTTCAGAATACCACCCTCAGACACACTAGCGGAGCCAAGATTTTAAGCCCGGGGGCGCTCTAGGAGGACCCTTTAATATCTATTATACACAATATTCTTTTTTCTACATTAAATACACTAGAACCCTCAATAAATTAATAACCTCGCTTAAATAATAGTTTCTTCTGGTCCCGACCAGATAAAAACCTACTAAGTTATTAGTTCGATAATTTAATATTTCGCTAAATTAATAGAATTTTGTTAGTTCCAACTGTATTAATTTATAGAAGCTTAACTGTAATAGGAATTTGAGAAATGTAGGGGGGCCATGACCCCCAACCCTATGCTGGCTTCGCCACCGCCTCGACAACAAATAAAATTGGGTGGAGTCAAATAAAACCCACAAATGAACCACCCATATACATATACTGGCATGCATGCGAATAAAATATAGAACATGAATAAGCAGAAGCAATAATTAAAAATTAAAAAATAATAATTAAACGAATCTTGATTTCATAGTTAATAAAAGGAAAGAATTTAGGTTGCTGAGTTTAACCTCGTTGGCGATGGTATTTACCACAGCTGTCTTTCTTTTTCTGCCCATATTTTTTTTTTTTACCGATCCTTGCTCAAAGTAAAGCGGAAGCCCTAAACAGGAAGAAGATCGAGAGACAAGAGAAACATACGAATGTTAGAGATTAGAGGGTTTCGAAAAAACACACACTATAGGGGTGAAGACGAACAGGTGTTCTGCTACTGCTGCTGTCTGTGTAATTTATTTATTTGTTCTTCTCGAGGAAGAAAAAAAAAAAGAGGGGCGAGTGAGTAGTAATTGCGTGATTTATTTACGACTCATAATCCATCATCATTCATCAATATCAGTATATTAGGTATATGGATCTTCACCGTCTATTCCAAGATTTGAAAAAAATTGTTATCCATTTGTAAAAAAATTACTTATCCCAAATTTAACACTTTCGGGAAAGAAAAAAAAAATTAAATATTTTGGTGGCTTGATCCTACTTTGCACTCTTGTAATTATGACCGACAATTGAGACATACCTAATCGAAGCCCGATGACTCGGGCCGATAATATTTGAGTCGAAGCCCAATTTTTAGTGAGCTAAGCTGAGTTTGAGTCATTTTACTAAACACGATTTATTTATGAGCGAATTTGGGGTTGATGTGGCTCAACTCGAATATATCGACCAATTATGTTAATAATAAAATAATATATTTATTATTTTAATCATATGGTTCAACAAACAAGTTAAAATCGTATAAGTTAAAATCGTATCTGATTTATTTTATTTTGTTAAAAAAGATCAAAAAATAAAAATGAAATTAAGTGGTGGCGGTGGGCAATAGGTAAAATAGGAATCAAATACAACGTACCCACCCAAACTCAGTTGCTGAAATTTTATCACCGAGATTTGAGAATATAAAACATTTCCAATAAGAAGAGATACTAATTTATTCTTTACTACTTTCAATCATGTTTCTAAGTTTTTCCAATAATTTGCAAAGATCGTTTAGGGTTTCTTTGGATTGGCTCAATGGAGATAAATCTTGTTTATCATTTGTTTTTTATAAAAAAAAAAAAAAAAAAAAAAAAAGAACACTCATTGCATTTCTATACTGACTAGTCCGCATATAAACCTGAAAAAAAAAATTATACATGAACCGAGTTTGAGCCTACACTAATGAGGCTTGATGGTTTGTGATCTTGAACCTATAGTAATAAGACCTAATAATATGTGAGATTGAACCAACCAAAACTTAACTCTCATGGCCTGACTAACAGCCCTACTTGAAATAAAGTTGTTTGACAATATATCTTTGAATTTTTTTAATTAAATATACTATTGTGGAAAAAGAAAAAAATCATTCAGAATGCATCCCATCTCATATTGAATTTTTTTAATAAGAACATATATAAGTTCTTTTAATATTACTTTTTTTCGGTGTTAAGATGTGATAAGAGTTCATTTTGCATGATTTTCACTTATCAATTCTTTGAGTTTTGGTCTTCGTTTGTCCGAGTTTTCGACTTTATTTGTATATATTATGTTGTCCTTGTTTAATTTATATTTTAGGTAAAGAGAAGCTATTTTTGCCGATTCGAAACGATTTTGGAAGCGAAGCCGAAAATCAAACCAAACACGTGCAAAACTGCATTATCGCGGATTATGGCACTATTTCGTATTTCAAGCATAACTTTTGCATACGACCTTCGATTGAGCTGATTCAAGTGGCTGTAGAAAGCTAACTTCAGGATCTACAACTTTTGTATCGCGATCTGGAGGTCTTACAGAAGGTTTTCTTGATCAGGACCCAGATTGCGATCCAGCCTTCCTGGATCGCGATCTGGGGGGTCTCACAGTACATTTTTTAATCAAGAACCAGATCGAGATACACCATTCCCGTATCGCGATCTGGAAAGGCGGTGCGCAGTTTCCAAGGCTGCTAGATCGCGATCTGGGCACAAAATTCGAGATGAAATATTTTTCTTTGATTTCTTACTATAAATAGAAGGTCTCTTCTTCATTTTTATAGATCAATACATATCAAGACCTAGCTCTCGACCTCTTTTTCGATTTTTCTTCGGTTTTCGCCAGTTCTTCGCGGGAAGCTTCGACGAGAGTTTTTCATAAGCTTTTCTTTACGTTTAGTTTATAATTTCTCGTGTTCTTCATTTTGATGCTATGTTTGCAATGAACTAAGCATTTTCTTTTAGGGAAATGAAACTTTGTATATATTGATTTTGATTTCCAGATCTGTGATCTATTTGTCGTTCTTTGATTCTATTTATGTTTTCCTGTATTAAATGCTTTTGATTGTTTGGCCAACAGTTGAATTGATTGTAAATGGGAATGAACTCGAGAGAGGATTTCTCGTTGATTTTAGGAAAACATAGCTCGGGTTGTGGACACGGAGACGTGATCACCTCGGGTAACCCTTAAGGAGTTGCCTAAATGCTCTCTTAATATCAGATTCTGAACGGAGATGTCGGACCTGTG